GACTCGTTGTAGTATTGCTTCCAGCCAGTGATTAAAACAGCGTATGTAAGCCTCCAGTCACATTGTCCAGTCATGGCTTTTGCCCTTTTTCGTAATCTTATTAGCACCTTGGTCACATCAGGACACATTTCTATACAAACCACTACAGTGAAAGGTCTATATAATGTACAAACTCAATTTTTATTCTATTGCCTTTTTAAAATATTTTTATTCTCTTGTCTGCCTCATTCTGACCTGCCTGCTGCTGTAACAACTGAATTTCCCTGGTGCGGATCAATAAAGTTTTATCTTAATGCTGAATGATGAGCATTATCTCCTCCATTTTCCCTATGAAGTGGAAAAGGACTTGGAAATGTATTTCCTGAAAATCATGGCAATGCAGCTTGTGATGGACTGAAACTAAAGAGCTCTAATGAGATTGTTTCATGGCTAATTAAAGTGTAAAAACTAGCTGTCTTCCAGCTCGGCGTTCAGTTCTGAACACTTTTACAAATTCCTCCTCCTCCATCCTGCTAGTTATGTCTTGTTGTCTGGCTTGACAGGATAGTGGATAACACCGAGTGCTCTCAACTGACAGAGAGAGCGCCTGAATCTCCTTCTGCTACATCTCAGTTATCAACATAGCCTGAATTAGTCAGTCATCCCAATCCAGCTTTCTGGAATGCAGCATGTCACTTGTCAAAACCCATCCACGATGACTTGAGGGTTAGAAACGCACACACACGTACACCCATCCTGAAACACACACTGACAAAGACAAATGCACAAATGCACAGTCACACTTCAGGCAGGCAGCCTCTGCCTGCGACAGTCAGTGGCTCATTGTAAGTGGTACTACAAGTTGCACAGCGGGGAGCAAAACGCCAGCTCTCAAAAGGTAAAAGAAAAAATGGAAAAACATCTTTGCACAACTCTCCTATATAACACATACATACATATGTAAACATATATATATAATACTTTGAGGATGAAATACACATTGTTATGCCTTTATCCTGGCAGTGATGGTAGACACATCCAAATTAATGTCAATTTAAAGATAGAGTCAGAATGATGGGATAGACCCAGCTGCTGCTGTGATACACCTCACTCAGATTACATCACACTGGCATGCTATCTTAAATCACACGGGGTGGCAAAATGCCAGCTTCCTCAGTACAGTGTAAACTACAGTGTAGCACTCTGAAGTGCACATACCTCTGACACAACAATCTCCCCAACATCCACCAAATAGCACACACTAATAAATATCCCCTAAACGGCAAAAATATTTTTTTCATCAAGATCCATTAACTATTCCCTGAGAAACCAGTGGGGAAAATGCTTTGAAGATTGCCTCTTGCAATGTTAAACAAAATGATGAAACTTGATTGCCAAAATTGAATAGGTTATTTCTTGGCCCCTGTCCTATGATTCTAACAAGTTTTGTGGAAGTCCGTTGTAGTTGTTTTTCTTTATCCTGCTGTCAAACCAACCAACCAACAAACAAACCAAAGGACGGGGTGAAAACTTGGCAGAGGTAGTAACAAGCAAAGGCAGCATGACAAGGGGTCTTCTTAATGGCAATACAGTGGGATTTCTGTATAAAACGAGCTATAACTGCTGCTGTGGAAAAGTCTAATCTAAATTGGATGAAGGGACAGAGTGTGCGTCTCCACTCAGAGTCTCTCCAGAGGCGATGTTTGACGTTTCAAGCAGCATGTCCGCAGGGCTGGGCATCTGTGATCCGATGCTGTAGAGGAAGGTGGTACTGCTGTGGCCTGTACACACATTGGTTTGGAAGCTCCAGTCTGATGTAGTGTCTACAGGCCGGCAGCCATGCTGGGTAATGCATACACAGCACTCTGTAGGATCCTGAGCGTCCAGACTCAGGCTGTGTGTTAAGGAGCTGCCCTCGCTCTCCTGGAAGGTCAGCCTCTCTGCACTTGAAAAGCTTCATGTGTGCATCTATGCGTTCAACAGCCGTGCCGGCTTGGCCGACTGCTCGCCCACCTGCCTGCCTGTGTGTCAGCTTCTAATGATGAGGATGATGGAGGAAATCAAAGAGGAGATGGAGCTGACGTTGGGGCGAGCTCTCCGTGGGACACCATGTGATTGGGGAGGGAGCTTTGAAGCAACTTGTTGGATGGCTGTCCATTAATGTAAAATATCGTTTTTTCAAAGGGCTTTATTCAAGCTCGGAGTAGCGGAGCCCATAGGGGTCAAGGTGTCTTGAATAATCTCTCTCACTTTCGATGGATGAAGAGATAAAAGAAAGAATAGTGCACAGTGACCTGGCCATCTCCATAGCCATTCCTGGTGTCATGGTTTCAGAAATACAATTGTAGAAGGAGAAAAGCACAGGAGATGGTCTCTGGTTACAATAAAAGATTTTACGTCAGGCTGAGGACCCAGAGACTCCGTGATCTCCAGTCTATGTGATCTGTGAATCTTATAAACCATTCTTTTTGATCATTTGGCTCACTGTTTATTTAGTTTGGTCAGGGATCAATGTGACTCCTGCTACACGGAGGAGCCTCATATCAATTTTCTCCGCTCACCATGAACTGCAGAGGGACAGGCAGAATATTATCCGCCTAGTAGCAGGTTTATGAATAGTGAATTATGGCTGCGTAAATCGCTCCCTCCGTTTTAAGTTACCGAGATACAGTCACGGGTCTGTCTCGGCTTATGAGAGCGACAGTAATAGAGAGCAACAGAGAGGTTTCAGGAAAACTTGAGTACGAGTCAAAGATCACAGTGCACTCATCATATGCTGTGACAATCCCTCTTGTCTGAGTCGAGGAGGGAAGAGGGAGACATAGATGACACACGGCAGCCCAGCCCGCTCATGACCCCTATTAAATCCCAGCAAATCTTTGATATGTACTCTGATACCATATTTTATTGATACTGAAGGGGTGTTTGTAATATCAAGTACAGTTCTGCATACCAGGAGATCAGAGCGAGGGCTGGTTTGTCTCAGAAGCTGTTCTGTGACCCTGGCGAGGGTCCCCGTAAGATCTAATACAACTGAACCAGGGGCGGTTTCAGTTTTTACAAGAGATTGTGATGTATGGGCTGTCCATGTTATATCTGTCTACAGTTTCCCTCTCATGCACACACACACACACACACACACACACACACACACACACACACACACACACACACACACACACTACTCCACTGATCAGTCTACTAATGATCAGTTGGTATGGAGTTTCTTCTCCAGATCAGGGGTGTATCCTGGAATTTTTTCATTTTCTTTAATGTTGTAATAAAGTGAGGTTTAAAAAAAAAAAAAAATCTGAGTGAATATTTAGGTGACTGGTATCTATGAGTGTGTGTAATTTGGTGCAGCTTGATTGAATATAAGGAGACTGTTAGGCCCACTGCTAACTATCCCTGTTTAATTTTATGGTGCATACAACATAGTCACTTTGAACTGTTTTTCCTTCGAGATATTTTCTTTTCGTTCTATAGCATAAAGGAGAGAAATACAATTCCCAATCTGAGCATCTCCAAACACACAGGAACTCAAAGGCTCCAGCCTGTGATCAGACCTGACAACTCATAAGCTACCATTTCCTCATGCTGCTTAACTCAGACCACATTTTTCCTGAGCACCTCTCTCTTCTCACTAGCTAGACCTCTCTCCACATTTCATCCGTCTTCTCTCCATTCCTGTTACCCAGCATCTGGTTTAAATATAGAGGCGTGTGCTACTGTGTTACTGATAGAAGTTGGGACTATAGGCTTCTCTTTGATTTTTTTTCTTTGCCTGTTTGTCTCATACAATGCCTGTGTTGGGAGTGTGCAGCCTCTGTTTTGTTGGTTTGTGCCATTATTTGTGTGAACTGTCAAGGAAGATAACAGATATGATGATTTATTTTAAATGTAAAAATATTTCATCTTGATGCTCTTGATTCCAGATTGATTGTCAGTATCCACTTTAATCATATAGTTTTTGTGTTGGGTTTATTTTTATTATGTGGTTGATTTAACAGAAAGTGACAGGTTCTTAACAGACTAAAGGCCCAAAGCAATGTGTAAAAAAATAAAAAAAATAAAATAGAAACACTTGAAATTAAATTTAACTAGAAGAGTGCCTCGGAGAGCGCATACCTCCACCATCTCGCCTGGTTCCACCCGTTCATCCGGATCGACTTAAACATTTTATGGATTCTTCCTTGGGTCAGGCCCCACCCCTGCACATCATTTTATGGAAATTAGTTCAGTTGTCTTGGCTGAAAGACAAACAGACAGATGTTAAAACAAAACCCATCTTTGGGGAAGGTAAGAAATATTTATCCACAACTTGATCACATAATTTTAAAGCTGATAAATGAAAGTTTTCTGTAGTCCCAGTATTTAGTATTTGAATGTTTGATCCCTCATGTTGTGTTTTGTTGGATTATCAACTTTAGGTCTTTGGCATTAAACTTGCATGATATCCACGTTTGACACCAGAGTGATAATCCTGTTTCTTTATCAGTTGTGGAATAAAGCACTTGGTTTATCTTGGTTAACTCCTCTGTATATGATTAGTGATAACTCTTTTTCTGACTCATGTTTTTAGAGAACCTTAACTTGAACACTTTAACATGCTTTTTACCCTATGTAATTTAAATAATGTCAGCACCCTCATCATTTCAATCTGGCCAAAATTATCCATCTTTAAAGACATAGTTGTATTGAAAGTCCCTTTCAAAAAGCGCATCCCTGGCTGAACAGACTTGCATGCGTTCATCTCAATGCTAAGCTCAATATTGTGATGACTGTTGGCCTTCAGCGAGGCCTAATCAGCAGTTTTCCCCCTCTCATGATAGTACTTTTGTCCTTATCAAGCATTATATTTTGCTGATTTTAGTCGTCACTCCCTCTGGCAAAAACTACACTTGCTTTCAAAGAGTATTTTACATCTTATGAATGAAGGAGCATCTGTGATAGTTGCTCCAAACTGACAAATCTGTCAAAATGCATCTCATTAAATCATCACGATTTCTGTTTTATTGCAGACCGAGGCCAGAGAGACCATCCCCAGGATGTTGGTGGAACTGGATCTGGGGCGGACAGAGAAATGTGTGAGGGTGAACTCGGTGTCCAGTGGCTTAGCTGAAGCTGACCTGCATGTCATTCTGCAGGGTGAGGTTCTCCCTCCTGCCATCATGTTACCAAAAGTGGAGGACACGCAGGAGGTGCAATGGGTAAGTCACACATTTTGACCAATTCAGAGAGTAATTTAAATGCACCACACAAACCAACAACAAAAAAACTAAACAATATATACGTGAGAAAAGAAAACTAAACTAAAAAAATAGCTGAGTCTCTTTCGCCTCTGGATGTCTTCTGAAGCAACACAGTGGTGCTCTTACACAAACTCATGGAGTAAGAGGACACCACGGGAATCTTCAAAGCAATCATAACAAGCTTTTCCATTTCCCAGTAAAAGTGGGAATCGATCCCTGTGGCAGGACTCTGGGACGGACAGAGTGTTTTTCTTGGCTGCAGCTCAAGAAACGGATGACATTTCTTCAGATTAGCTGCAGAAGCCCGATAGCTTTCTGTAACAACACTAAACGTGCCTTCTGCCACTGCTGAACCAACTGGAGAGCCTACTGGAGACCAACGTGTACAGTGTCACGTATGTGGCTAAGAATTTTTTGTTTTGTTTCATATTCAAAGTCGGTTTAATCAATATAAATATGCTGCAAGCATACATTACATCGAATCTATTTCTACTGTAAAACACATTTTGCAAATCTTCCCAGTTACTGAGGGTCTACTATGAGAATGATCACCTATCACAAACTAATTAACGTCAGAGGTTTCAGTGGTTATTAACTGCACGTGTTATTTTTTAAAATGATTTTCCTCTGATATTCCTCCCATTTTCTTGTCCTTGTTAATTAATATTTGCAATTTGTTAATACTTAACTGGGCCTGTGCCATAGTTAAGAGGTATTTGTCTGGGCTCAGCCATCCCTCTGGCTCTCTATAAAGGGGCGCTGTACGGATGTCAGGTCCCGAAAGGTCAGGAGACAGTGACATCATTAATGCAGGCCTTTCTGATCAGCTCCATATGGTTCACTTACCAGGAGGAACCAGGTTGTTGTCTGCCTACTTTTACTGTTTCTGTTGAATACAGTTTTTGCTGATTCAAAAAAGATTCCAGAATTATGTATAATAGCAAAGATAGGAATGAACAGTATGAATATGAAAATATGAATGAGATGTGGTCTCAGAGTTTTGGTCCTCACTCTGTGTGAATATGCAGTCAAACATGGTATTGGCTGGAGAAGCAGGAAGTTTTTAACTAGTGTTTTTAATTAGAACACGTCTATTTCCTGCTGCCCTTTCTTTCTTCCACGTGTAATTGCTGACAGGTGTTCTCTAATTCTTCCCCTGAGCTCAGGCGTTCCTCCTCTTCCTCACTCAAAAAGACACATTTTGTTCTGCGTGAAATATTAAAAAAAGAAAACAATCTGCTGCTGTTATTATGAAAATTGTCGGGAACACATCGAGCGCTCTAAATGTGGGGAATAATACCAATGCTTTGTGCCGAGAAACACTTAGTGTTTATTGGAAGTATCATAGAGTGCATTTCCCCTCCAGGAAAAATGCCTTCACATGCAATTGTAAATCTGTTTTCACTTGTGATTTACAGTGTGTTTCTGCATTAGCAGGTGCATGTGTTCCCCTGAAACAAAGTCAAGTTTGCAGCTCTGGACTGAACCTCCATTCTTTCATGTTTGCTCATTTAATCGTATCGTTGCTTCCCCACCACCACACCACACAGAACCACACACACACACACACACACACACACACACACACACACACTCACAGGCTTTTGCTGCTTCTGCTTTGCATATGCTTTTCCGTGTGTATGTGTGTATTCATGTGTCAGCGTTGTAAACATGTCTGATTTTTTTTTCCCACTCTTGTAAGGCAGTGCAGTAAATCCCTCACTTGTTTATTTTTCTCTCTTTTTATTGATATTAGCACAGGAACCTCCAGACTGATTTGTCGCTGAAAGATGGACTTGCTTGTTTCCCTTTGTGTGGAAATCTTTAGCTCTGCCTTCCTCCTCTCCCCCAGCCCTTGTGTGACTGACAGGCCTTATTGGGCTATAACAGGCGTAACTCCCTCCTTTGTCTGGGGACAATTCTCACACAGATTCGGAGCCATGTGCATTCTTTGCCCACCACACTATTTGGTGTGCACTGGGACCAAAAAGAATCGCACCCTGTCCTGCTCCTCCTCCTCTACTCCTCCTCCTGTCCCCTCCCCTCATCCCTTTCTCCGCTTCCCCTCTGTGAAATGAACACTTCAGCAGGCCGGAAACATTTAATCTGGCCCCCTTTTGAAGAAAATTAATTGAAACTTGTCCCACTATAGCGTCCTTTCTCCAGCTCCATCTCTCCCTCCTTCTCTTTTCATGATTGGGTGGTGAAATTGTCAGAGGGCTTGTTTGTAGCGTGGCTTTGAATGGCAAGAAGAGGTGTTATTTCTTCTTTTTTTTTTCCTCTTTTCTTTTTTCAATTCATTCAATAACAAATTAAAGGCTCCTAGATTTGAGAGCCATTGGCGGCTAATGGTTGCTGTATGCTCCAGAAGAACAATGATGGAGGACTGTAGTAGCTCTTATGTGGCGTAAATCAGGCCCTCAAAGTGTATAATAGCTGAATAGGAGAATACAGCAGAGGGACAGAAACATGTAATCAAAGAGGCTTGGAGGATTTCTCGTCGGTGGTGCCGCATTGAGCTGTCATTTGTTTTCCTTCAGCCCAATCCAAACAGCCCACTTGGCTCGCTGCAGCCTTGTTGGGGTTTGTGACTTTGCGTGGCGCGGCGTATAGCAGTGGTAATCTCTGTGTGTAATAGCAGCTAGGTTTCCCCCACAATGGGCCATATCTACCTACTTTCCTCTGTCGCAGAAATAGGTTTATCTACACTCCCTTTTCACACTCCTTCTCGGACCCCCGCTCCCACCCCTTCCCGTGTTTGCGAAGGAGAGGAGGGGGGGTGGTATTATACTAAGCCCCCAGCGTTAGTTTTTATGTTGCCATAGCAGCCTTGCTCCCACAGGGTTGTGACCTCAGATGATTACAGTACAAAGCCTATTGGGTCTTGAAAACCTCTTTGAAGATGAAAAGTCTTTGATGGTTTGTATTTATGCAAATCTCCCAGATATGATTTATCCAACTGAGATTGAATGGAGAGATGATTAAAATTGCCCCTATTTTTTGAAATCCTTCAATGGAGGCCCACTCTTTCAGTTTCGAGAACAAGAGTGGTGAGTGCGAGCACGGGGGTTATTTTGCTCCTCATTTAGGAAAATAGCCGAGCTGTACCTGAGGTTATTTATATCTGTCTTTTTCCTTGTGTGTCAAAGAGGGAGCGAGAGAAAGGAGAGGAAGCGGGCACATGGAGTTAGACATTTCTACTCTGAGCTTTTTTATAACTCCTTTTTTTTCTGGACTGGCTTTGAAAGGAAATATCTGACGGAGGGGGCTTTTGTGTGTTTCCAGATGATAGATTTAGGAATTTGGGCTACCCCACTGGCAGTCCAGGGCTAGCTGTGAACTGGTCTGTTGGAAAAAATTGGAATGCTTTGGTCTTCAAAGAATTGAACTTGGTTTTAAAGGCCTACTTAGGTGAGCTTGCATATTAGCAGGAGTCGTGCAGAATAAAGGCCTCAGCAAAGTGTCACATCACACTCTGATTGTTGCTCCAGTCTCCCTCTTCCCTGCCATGGAGGGGGGACGTAAAACAGAATAATGTGTGAGTACAACACACTCAGAGACATCCCAAATCTTGTTTCTTCTCCCCCCTTTTTTTTTTGTTTCTTCTTCGCTTTACTGTGCGTATGCATGCGCTCGTTCGTGCATGTGCGCATTTACATGTGTGCACACTCTCTCAGGGGAACACATGCTGTAGTTGAGCGGAGCCTCTGAGAGAAGGTAGAGCAGAAGACTTCAGACGACAGGGGAAACCCTGGTGATAATGTAAAATATTTCATTTCCTTGGCTTTTGTTGCCGCTCTCCTGTGCTTGCTTTTTCTGCCATTTGAACCCTCGCGGATGTGTCTCTGAATAAGGACTGCGATGGGAACAGTGTGGGTAATAAAGGTGTCAAGATTCGTATCAAAAGCAAGTTTTTGAACAATAAGATTTCCTTTTTTACTCCTCTGTCTGTCTTCCCCCGCAGTGGATTTTGAAGGCTGTGTCACATCATTTACAATCGTTATGGCTGAATATATTTTTCTTGGAGTTTTAAATTCACCTTCAAACAGTCTCTCAGTTTCGAGTGCAACACATCATGTTTTCTTGAAGAACAATGTCAACGGCCTCACAAATAGATCCAGGCTGATCACAAGTCTGAAGCTATTGTTCACAATGCCACAGTAAATATATGTGCTCCAAAACATGTGATCAACGTGATGACTATAATTTCACAAAGTCGGGAGAGCAGATTAATTCATTGTGATTATTTGGGGGGGTTTATTGTTTTCCATTCGCAGAAACAGTGGGTGTTGTTAATGAGCTGTGCGTGAGACTGTCCTTGTGTGTTAAGTTTGTTGACAGGTTTCAGCACAACTTGAAAGGACAGGCACTGACAGAACCCATTCGCCTGGTCACCTTTGTGGAAACCGCTGTGGGCCTGCTCAATTTTAAGGTAAATTACAAACAACTCTCCCCCAAAAACTGCCTGCATAAGATGTTTTGCTTGTTCCTCCATTGTTCACTTTAGATTAAAGACGGCGACGGTGAGCGGAGCACTCCACGTGTCCAAAATGAAAGGCATTCAAAGCTTTCGGACAGTCTCTCAAAATGAGCCTTTTTTTGTTTCCTCTGTGTGCGTGTGTGTGTGTGTGTGTATCTGTCTCTATCCCTTTCCAGACATGCTGACATTTTTTAATTAGAGCTGTTTTAATATCATCATAGTGGAAAAGTTCTTAATGATATTTTGGCAAGCATCAAAGCAGTTCCTGTTACAGTGCAGCACGACCTTCAGCTACATGGGGAAAAAGGGCATGGTTTTGGGCATTTGGGGAGAAACAAGCTGTCCATCCTTCTTTTGATTTGTCTTTTAGCTCCCCACTCTAATTCTGTGGCTGTGTTTGTGCTTGTGAATGTGTGCCTGTGTGTTTTGATGACAGGGGGTGCCTCTGTGTGCTTTCTTGAGAACACCCTGTATCTTTGCCCAGACTGAACCCCAGGTTACAAGCATGAAGAAAAAAAAAATCGCTGTGGCACAGCTAGTGGCAAAATTAATTTGGAGGCCAACAAAAGAAGGAGACGTGTTTTTATTGTTTCACACTCTGCACCGCAGACGGTTGCATTCCAGATTTTATTGATTTATTTAGTTAACGGTCATTATTTATAAGTAATTGTGGTCATTAGTTTTATCTTAGCAATATAGCTTGTTTTTCAGTACAGATTTATTTCGGCATCTACTTTTTGAAAAACATAAAAATCATTCCTGCTAAATCTTATTGTAGAAATATAAAGCATGCATTCGTATTCATGCTTTTACACAAAATGTTATGAAATAATAAAATGATCTCTTCCTAACCCTAATACAGTCTCTAACTTGAATGATAATCAGTAGCACACATACCTCCTCCAAAATAGTCCCCTTAAAATCTTCACCAATTCATGATTATTTGGACATAGTTTTAAAACAATTGAAGATACATCTAAACTGAAGCCATTTTATCTCAGCTACAAGTAAGATCGGTAAATTAGTACCTGGGAAATCTGTGAAAATGTCAAAGCAACGCCCTGTCTCAAAGGATTTCCTCGACTCGCTCGTCTGAATGTCTTTTTTCTTGGCCCAAATAATATCCTTCCAGCAAGTTTCGTGGAAATGTGACATGTGCTTTTTTGCGTATAGCTGTTGACAATCAAACCAAACAACCGATGGACCAGGCTGAAAACATGATCTCCTTCGCGGAGGTAATAAGCCAAAGTACCATTCACATCAGGAAATATATGGTAGTAGAATAAGTGAACACGGTGGAAGGTCTGACCCAATGGGAAATGCCAAAAGTACTGAGTTTCGATTTCCAACCCTTCGTAACAGTGTCTTTGGATATCTACGACATAAGAGGCATCAGGAGATGCTCACCATGGAGAGAAAGCTGGTGGAGGTTATGGGTTTGACAGATATGTTCTTATCGGCATATTTGTTAGAGAGAATAGAGTGTGATGATGTGCATGTTGGATGCTTCTGTGCCTGCAAAGGAAACACGGAAACCAGGCTGTTTGAACCACTGTAGGAATATTGGGGCATAATTAGATTTCCTCCGCAGTATTTATGCCAAGATGTCCAACAATCCCCCCCCCCCCTTTGCATCTGTGTCACTTTAGTGGGCCTGTATTATGCTAATATTCGTATGCTCTCTCCAGGCGGTGTGTGAGGAAATCCGTCGACTTGCTCCCAGTGCTGGTCTCCACCATGACGGCGTGGTGTTTGGCTCTGATGACTTCTGTGCCAGCATAGGTAGCTGTTACACCTCCAGGTTAACATTTCCTCTGTTAGAGCACAGTTGTGCTATTCTCCTCCATGCAGGACAATATAATAAACAACAGTCTAAACATGAACAGCTGTGTTTATATCATTATCTATTTTTAAAGTTAATTTGCAGTCAGTTTAACCCATGGTTAGGTCTGTTTTAAAAAGAAGAAGTGGTGAAACTGAAAATGATGATCCATCTTTTGATGCATCTTGTCATAGTCAAGTACTGTTTGCTAAGTACAATTTTGAGATACTTAAGTGCTTCTATTGAAGACCTTTCTTTATTAGTTATTTTTTAAATATTGCAATTTTTACACAATTGATAATAGAACAAAGTTGTTAAGGATTAAACCAGTGGTTTCAAACTTTTTTTAAGCATCTAAAATCCCACAAAATACATTGTGTATTTAGGGTCACATTTCAGATGTTTGAGTTGTAAAAAGACTCACTCTTTAGTGACTAAATCTTTCAGGTAAAGTCTTTGTATTCAATTTTTAAATTATCCGGTATTTCACCTACTTTTCCTTGAGGTGCCACACGGACAAAGGATGCCAAGGAGCTCCTTTATGCCAGACAGAAGGTGGTGGTGACCACCAAAGCATTTGGGCTACAGGCCATCGATCTGGTCTATATTGACTACAAAGATGTGGAGGGGCTGAGGCAGCAGGCCAGAGAGGGAGCTCTCATGGGCTTCACAGGTAAACTTTCCACTCTCTACTCTAATCAAAGAAGAAATTAGTTAGTTGATCAAAGTTAAATATTTTTAAATGTGGGAGGATGCTAAACATCTTTTGTCTTTTTAATGGTTCTGTATATACTTGTACTGCACATCGTTTGTGGTTTTAAAAGCAGTTGCCTGTCTTTATCTTTTTAGTGCTTTTGTTGATGCTGAAGTGATTTGCTTGTCTGACATTTCTCTGGTTTCTTGTCATGAATTGTTTTGTGTCTGTATTGTGAACTCAGGTCACCTGCTTTTTGTACCTGCATACAAGTATGATTACAGGCAGCTATTAGCACAATGTGGTGGCACTCTGTGTCTCTGTTGCCATGCAACGCTTTAAGAATGTGTGTATGCGTGCATGTGTGTATCTGCCATGCAGACTGCATGGAACAGACCACAGAGGGCAGGACAGCTGTTTCAAGTGGATATAACACTTTTCATTCAATAAATGAGATGTATTTGTTCTGATATTTTCATCCCGTGAAAAATGATTAATTCAGAATTTCCAGGGGAGTCAACCCAGAAAACTAACTACACTTCAGTATATATTGTTTTGTTATTGTGCTGTAAGGTTGTTTTTCATTGTGGGATGATTGAACAGAAGACACAACGTTAAGCATTAGTCAGGTTTCACATTGGAAAGAGATGGAGTGAAAGAGATAGTTGGTTCAAAGTCAAGTCGAGAATCTCTGAGCACACACTCCTTGTTGCACTGCTCTGGACACACACACATGAACCTGCACTCAATATCATCACATCATCTCAGCGACTTGCCGTCTCATACACAAACTGATTTTCCAGATGACCTCATATGCCACCTTTGGTGCTGTAGGCCTGTGTGAGTGTGTGTTTACATCATGACTCAGCACTTGTCATGCAATTTAACATGGTTATTTTTAGCAGTTCTTTAACAAAATATTTACCCAATGAAATTCAAGATTTTTCATCTTCTAAGCGATGCATCAACCTCAAAACTAAATGTAAATAGTTTATATATATATTCCTCTGTTCTCCTAATACTAGCGCTAATCAGAATAATTTGTGTAAACAGAAGAAAAGCACAAGGTGTTGTCCACACATGGTAACGTGTATAAAAAGCTAACAAACGCTGGCCGCCGCTCTATGAAATAAGTGGTCAGATTTGATATGGAAAGTGCCATTCAAAGCTCTGGATAAGTGGCTTACAAGCCATGGGCACTCTGTACAGTATAATCTTTGTGGCTATTACTGGCCTGAGTGTGCTTAAGCATTAATAAGGTGCAGCCAAAAGCTTCTACCTGTGCAGTAATTGACCCTGGCACTGCCTAAGCCGCATACAGTACCCATTAGCACAGAGTTCAGAGCACACAAAAACTGGTGTTTCTTACTGGTTCACAGGATAGTGTGAGGGCGCCCAGAGATAACCTTGACATCTAATCTGTGAAGGAGGATTGTACATTTTGAATATTTAATAGTGCTGCAAATTCATTTCATAATTACCTTACACTATGTACTGAATGATCCTAGTAAATATCTTTGCCTTCTGCAAATTTAAGATAGTTTGACAAAATCCTCTGTTTTCAGGGAGTGCATTTCACTTACCATCCCCGGGACCCTGCCTATCATTCGCCTGAGAGCACTTTGCTAAATAGCTATCCTCCAATGAGATGCCAGCACCACATGGCAGGCCAGGATTGGCTGGAGGGCATGAGTGATGCATTTCAAGAAAACCAATGGGTTGTGACTGAGGGCACCTGAATCACCCTGTCTGTGTCTCTTCACTCAGTCATTCTCCTGTCCTCCCACACACACATACAAACACACACACACACACAAGATAAAACAGGTGGCAGAGGAGAGAATAAACACTCCTCTTGTCTCATTCATCTCAGGATGCAACAACCACACTCAGTTTATTGCCGTGAAAGAGTTTTCACATGGAAAAAGTTGGAGAAATACTCCAATATTGATATCATTTAATAATGCAAACAAGAAGATGTGCGCACACACACACACACACACACACACACACACACACACACACACACACACACACACATATACTGTGGCCCTGGGGAGTCCTTAGGCTGTTTGTTCAACAGAAAATGTGCAGGGACAGCAGGGGGCCAACCTTTTTCCCCATCAAGGGCCGTTTCAATTTTTATAACATCCTTCGCGGGCCATACTAAATTATTGAACACGTATATCACACTAACCTCGCTGATGCAATGACTGGAGCTGCTTCTCTTTTTGACAAGGAGACTGGTGTCAGGTGATGATGATGCAGTTCACGGCTGGTTTTAGCCAAAATAACTTGCTCAAACAAATCCTCACCTTTTCGTCAGCGCCTCATATGGCTCGCAAAGTCAGGAATTCCTCTCTGGAATCAAACTTGGCAGTAATCGCACGCACAAAAGTGGCTAGCTGTGCGGCGTTTGTCATGTTGTTTAATCACAGGCCAATGGGGAAAAACTAGATTTTTTTTTTGCAGTCCCCTTCATTGTTATTCAGTATCTTGTGCTGCATCAGTACCTCACCCTGGGACGCTGTTTTGAGACATTAGAACCATTTTACTTTGTCTGGTTCCAGCAGCAACAAGGCACTCATTCACAAATTCCCCTTCTGAACCTATTAGCTTGCTCACTACCAAACCTGGCTCTGTAACATTGTCTTTGTCAGAATATGATCTTCTGAAAGCTACTGAAGGATGTGTGCAGTATCCCTGCAAACTGCACACTGACTATTTTACCCCAACAACAAAGAACTGCGTGTGATGGCTACGTCTGTTTCGTTGACCTTGACTGTGACCTGACAGGAGCAGAACCTTATTCTACCCCAGAGAAAGTCAATTCCCGTCATAATTATTTTGTACTTCTGTGCTGCTTTTTTTGTCTCGTTGGTTTGATCAAATTATCTTGTCGGGCTGCGTGTGCCCTGCTGTCCGAATGCTCTAGACCTGAGTATATCACAAACACACAAATCCTCAATCGTGCTTTTACAGTGACCCACAACACATTTTGTCTCACGCTAACATCCCTCAAACGAATCTCTTTGTAATTTGAATTGTAGTTAATTAAATAAACTCTCTCACCAGTTATTGTTCTAGCATTTACCTGCACCGTGTTGATTGTGTAACTGTGGTGTGTGTTTTTCTGAGGTTAACTGGGGTGAACGGAGCTGGATGAAGGGAGTGGATTCTCTCCTCCCCTTTCCTCTCCTGTCTTGCCTCCCCTCATCTTCTCCTCCTCTTCTCCCCTCCTCACCTCTCCTCTTCTCCTCCCATCTCCCTGGCAAATTTTTTTTTTTCGTTTCGCCCGTGCTGCCCGCCTGCTTAGCCACCTTGAAGGATTTGTTGTCGGCGACAGTGCTAAGCCCTAAAGTGTCGAGTTCCTGCTGGCTGCCGCTGAGCCGTCGTTCTCACCAGACATTTCATAACCTTAACTTATCACTACAAGTTTGATCTGCAAATGTACATGGGATTATGTCTGTGGCGTTCGCCCACATTTAACTGAGGGAACAGGAGCAGAAGAGAAGGAGGGGGTTGAAGATTGTGTCAGAGCCTTAACTCCATGTTGGGCTTCAGTTTCAGACAAGATGTCATTTCTGTAAAGAAACTGTGCAACTATTGAAATATATTTATATCCTCAACCTATGGACAATATATGTAATATAAAAATTATTTTCTTTTAACAGTTTAAATTAGCTTTATCATTTACATGAACATGCCATGAATGTTGTTCGATTTTGTTTAACCTCATTGGCATTTTCTATATGATTTACTTGACTTGTGTTATGTTGTGTGTCTTGTTTATTTGTGCGCGTCTGCTTTCGTGCGTCAACACACAAATAAGCTGTTCTCGTCTCCATCAGTGTGCTGCTCTGTCACATATTAAAGCCAAACTGGGTAATCAGCAGAGTCTCCCTGACAGCAGGGCTGAGACTAGAGAGGAGACACTTGATATCCTTCATGATGTCTCTGATTCAATTCAGTGGCACTGAAAAGACTCACACATATACAGTTTGTTCCTTGTGCATTTCCTCTGTCTCCTTCCTCTATATGATCAGCACCCTCTTAGCAGAAATCCATCCCCATTCTCAGAAATCTTTAATTTTTTCTTTGTTGCAACAGTTTACAATGGTGCAAACTGTGTTTTTAATTCCTCTCTGCCAGCAAGTGAAAGCATAATTGCTCCTGTATTTAATCAAATCTAAATTTCCCTTTCTGTGTGCAGGTAAGCAGGTGATCCACCCAGGGCAGATCCAGGCTGTACAGGAAGAGTTCTCCCCCAGTCAGGAGAGGGTCCAGTGGGCCAAAGAGCTCATTTCTGCCTTTGACCAACATCAAAAGGAGGGCAAGGTAAAATTAACATATTGGCCAAAAGTGAAAATCACACAATTTGGGAAATAAAAAATTCATTTATTCTCTTATAAATTAATATTTTGATCTTAAGTAGCCAGGAGAAGGAAATAAGTTAGACATCAACATACATGACTTGAAAGGTGGTTTTATTATTTGCCATTTTGCTTGTGCAGAATGTGCAGACAAGTCAAAAAGTTACTTTGCTGCATTTGCTCTTTTTGTTTATTTGATTTTTCCAGTCATTTTACAAAGACTACAACACCATTTAATTCCCAAATAAAACAGTGGATTCCTCCAAAATAGTTAAAAGATATACAGATTCAGTCCTTGACATACTAAGAATATCCAGGAGATTTTATTGTACACAAATCTTTCTCAAATGTGCATCTCCAGCATTACACCGTATTTGTGCTGGTTGTGTGTTCTGATGACAAGGGTCTCCCTGTCGCTCTCTCTCTCTCTCTGTTCTGGGACTCAGCCTGATCCTTTGTGTGTCCTCACACACCTCTGTAGTTCCAGAGAATACATACTGTACACCCCTGGGTAACTCTCAGACACATCACAGGAGATGAGGGAGGGGGGGTTGAGCAAATTAAGTGTACAATATTATTGTTCCTAATTTAGTGCATGGTTGGATCCTATGTGTTGAGCTCTGTGGGCTATCTGCTGAGGTAATACACAATCTGCCCACACCTCTCTCCCTGCCAGGGCTGCTCCTACTAAGCATCGCCCGAGGGATTCATATCCTACCCATCCCTCTGCCGTGGTGTGTGTGTGTGTGTAATGGTTTGAACAGTGAGCAGGGTCAGTCTCTTTGTCTTACAACACGACAGGTGCTTGCTTTTCATAATTCTCACCTCCAGCTATTGACTGTATTTCTGAGTTGAGGATTCTGGATATTCTGCCTTAGAGAAAAAAGACAAATATTCACTCCTGACCTCAAAATAGTACTTTATTCCAAAATATGTTATAATTCAAACAATTTCTTCTCCTGCTTCCTTTTTTGAAATGAATGCTTGTTTCATAGTTTATCATATATTATATATAACCATTAAAGTCTAAAATTCAAAAACATGATGATAAATCCTCACAATCAAAATATGACTAATGATTTTTCTGGCTGTGTTTTTATCCAGCGATCTACTTCATCATCATCCATCAGAGAATATTTACAAGTGCATTTACTGTGAGTGTCTGGTCTCTAACATTTCTCTCTCTGCTCTTGGCCCTGTGGCAAACCTGTTCAGGGTGCGTTCACCTTCCGCGGCAGCATGATTGACATGCCCTCGCTGAAGCAGGCGCAGAACATCATAACCCTCTCCACTGCGGTGCCGGAGAAATAACACGAATTTGGGATGGGACCAAAACGGGAGGAACCACACACACACACCACTAAATCGAGGACCGCAGAGGTCAAAGGGGACTGAAAAAATGTTGCGACAAAAAAGGAGCATTTTTCAACAACTTGACTTTGTTGCCTGACGTCAGAGTGGGAATGTTTGGTGTTAATTTAAGTTTTTTAACAATTGTTGAAATATATCCCATTCAGTTCATTTGTGTTCTATGGGAGTTGCAGTGAAGTTTCACTTTTTTTCTGCCGAGGTCCATTTACTTTACGACTATACACACTGAAATGTATTCATGAATCTAAACTCTGCATGAAGTGAACACCAACAGAAAAACCTTTGGAAACCAAGCGTTGAAGATTATTGCCCATGTGCAGGCACTTTCTTGGCAGTGTGAGCACCATCAAGACGCTCTCCTGTGTATTAGTGTGTGTGTGTGTATTTGTGTGTGTGTGTGTGTGTGTGTATTAGAGTGTGTGTGTGTGTGTGTATTAGTGTGTGTATTAGTGTGTGTGTGTCTATGCGTTCCATCTCTTCTAAGTCATGATGAATGCTCTTGCATCTCCATGGTCCGGGCAGCTGGGCGAAAGGGTAAACAAACACAACAAGCCACTGTTGTTGATCTATTCATTGGGCCCCAGTCTTCCAGTCGGGCCTCATCCCCCCCGCCCAGGGCCTAACTCACAAACATCAAAGTCCTGCTCGCTGAAAAAACCCCCCCAAAAAAGAACTGCAGATGGAAGTGTGTTAACTCACGATTTAGCTTTTTTGTGTCAGTCTCCTTGGTAAAGACATGCAGCTCGCTCTGTGGAAGCTGCGAGCCTGTGGTCTTGATGGAGAAGGCGTGCGGCGTCAGACACACCATGACCTGCACGAAAAATAAACACTGCATGCATACACATGCTGCGGCGGTATTCTTCACCCGGCCTCTCATTTAGCACACACACACAGAAAGTTGAACTTGGATTTGCAGCCATTGCTTCTCAGCGAATTCACCTGTTAATCAGCATTTGCTTCATTTTAGAAACGGTGATTATGAAAAATGAGCTGAACCAGTTTGTTGTTCTCAAACAAAAGTGTGACGAGGCTCCGTGCACATGTGACTCCCAGAGACAGAGAGGTGGGTGTGATGTTGGAGTGAGACAGATTAGTGGCCATGTTGCTCCAGCAGACCAGGACCGAGGCTTTGTCTCTCTTGACTGTGGATGGGAGGATAATTGGGGGGGTGTTGAATGGTTAATAGTGCCATTGGTGACCATGGTAATGAAAGGCACCATACCTCCCCTACCCACCTCATCCACTCATCTCTCTCTCCCTCTATCTCTCCCTCTCTCTCTCTCTCTCTCTCCCCTACTGTATGATCTATTGTGTCTGGGGCAGGACTGTGATCTGTGCCAGGCCAGGCCAGAAAAAAAAAAAAAAAGATCGAAACCACTCCTGCAACCATCCAAACCCCAGAACAGTAAGCTGTCTCTCTGGCATTAGGCCACATATGTCTCTCACAGACGCCACACTTTTTTTTCTGTCACGATTTCGGCTTTTGTTTGATTTTCGCCAAATCTACACCCTGGTGCCGGTGGAGACAAAAAACCGCTGTTTTACGTGTGTAGCGTTATTTTTGGGTGGAGCCACTTTGTGAGGCACTGCAGCGTAGATGTAGGACATCATGTCATATCTTGAACTTGTCGGACTTGAATGGTAAAATATTTGAAAAGGATGTTTCTTTTACTTGTAGCCTGTACTGGATGTTTAAATCGTAACTTATAGATCATCATATATACTGTTGTTGTTTTGACATTAAATGAAACTAAGGGTTTTGATTGAATTTTAACTGTGGCTTTTTTATTCAATTATTTTATCATTTAGCTTCATGTTGTTGCAATCTGAAATGAATGGACGAGTTTCAAATGCTTCAAATCCTGCATGAGTAATTTAAAGTACTGGCAGATTCATGTTGTTAAACAATTAAAACATGGCTTAGATCTTTTCTTAAAGGAATCTATTTTTAAAAATGAAAGCTACTTATCGTATTTTATGTTTTCAAACCGCAGCATTTATTTGTCAGGCTTTGAGATGATTGTAATTACAAAACATTTGACCCCTCGAATGTTTATCAAATCCCCTTCCATGAGTCCGAGCACATGAAAGGCCTCAGAAAATCACTCTCAGACCCCATGTTTCCTCAGTATCCAGCTCAGGGCTGAACACAGGCTCACCGGGTGACTACACTGGGGACGGAGATGAGTCTGATGGGGACAACTTGGCTTTTCCAAGCTGCTCTGCACCAACAGGTGTCCCCCCACAAACAGGAAGCAAGATCTCAAAGCAGAGGAAGCAGCTCCGGGGCATCCTGCAGAGGCAGAGAGAGAAAATAAGGATGATCAGGAAATCATTTGGCCAGTTTATATTTTAACAGAACACAACATCCTGTAGGTGTTCAAATGAGCCACGTGCTTTATATCTCTCTCTCTTTTTTTTTTTTTTGTTCAAACCAATAATCTTGCTGCTGTTTTGTATTTCCACTCACATCCACGCCTTTCTCTCCCTCCCTCCCTCCCTCCCTCCTCCTCCTCTCTGGATAAAGGTGAAACAAACTCTGGTCTTTACACGGAGCTGCTTTCTTTCTCTTCCTTTGCAGCACTTTGCACTTCAGAAACATCTGGGAGTTTAAAAAAGAGCGAGAGAGAGAGAGGAGTGGAAGATTTCGATGACATCTCTGTAGATTAGAGGAATGCATCCCTGTCTGCCTCCGCTGTGTAATTCTACATGACATTTCTATTATGTGTGGAACTGATATAATCTTCCCAGTCCGCCCGGCGCCTTTATTTAAACACATCTCTCCGGTTTTATTCCCTGAGAGAGTAAATTACAATTAACACGATTATAACCTCACGAAAATTGTGACGGGAATCAATTAGGCTGCGAGCAGTTACTTCATAGCCCGCTAATGTGCTGGTCGAGATTGCTTTCATAAATTATGAGGGACACGCGCAGGCGGAGAAAATGCATGTATGCAAAACACCGTCAGAGGAAAATTAAAACGAAATGTTTTACATATTTTTCCATTAATCTAAATGGGACCCGCGTGGCAGAGATGGTTTTATTCTAATTCCACCCGCCCGGGGATTCCCCCCCCAAATAATGACTTGATGTTTTAATAGACTTCTAATGACAATATATGACAAACTAATTGCAGCAAAGGAGGAAAAAAAAAAGATTATTCCGGAGCAATAATGCACCTCGTTATTGGAGCTGCAGCACAGTTTGAGAAGTGTAAAGCTATTAGCAGAAGTGCTGCAGAAGCTGATCAACATAAAACATTTAGTTGAAGCTAATTAACTCTGTTTCAATATTTAGGAATGCAGTTGAAATGAACGAGGACGTTTTCAGGGAGGCTACATTATGGTGATAACCCCCCGAGAGAGAGTAAAAAAAAAAACTAGCCTGTGATTGTCCTGTAATAACTTATTTTTGAAAATATCGAAATTATCACGCTCACAACAAAATGCTTCACTCCTTTTAATTTATTTCTCTTAAAATAACAATGAAAAGAATTCAAATTGAAATGAAATCAATAGTTTTACTTTATTTCTCAGATTCAATTTATCAATTTATGATTTGAAAATAAATACTGAATAATCCAGAAACTAATTGCATCTTTTTTAAAAACTATAATTTTAGAATAAAATAAAAACATAAAATGTGGATTAATTTGAAAGCATAATCTGCATAAAAGCTGAACTAAATGAACTGTTAGCCTTCATGGCAGCACACGTGTATTTATCCACTATTGTTATTAATTGTATTCCTCATTATAAACCCAGTTAGATCCATATTGTTGGATTAATTCCTCTGAAATTACAGCGAGTCGTTCTCAACACACTCCATTTTTATTCCCTCTCCGCTGACAGACGCATGTCCGACCTCCTCTTCTTTATTCTTCTCTCTCTCTCTCTCTCTCTCTCTCTCTCTCTCTCTCTAATCGTTTGCATGATATGAAATTCAGCGCGGCCTGTCTGTGCTGCATGAGTGATCTGGCACATGTGGACCATTACTAACTTCATTTGAGGAGACCTTTTGTCTGCAGTGTCTCCGTCTGCAAAATAAAAGGCAGACTGAGGGGGACAGAGCTGAGTGGCATGAATCAGGATCTCTTATTTTTTTCTTTCCACCTTTATATCATGACATAAGTCTTTTTTTATTTACAGTGCGTCTAAACACACATTTGTTGGTTTAAAGAAAAAATATGTTCTCGAGGGAAATGCTTAGTTTTTTTGTTTTTTTTTACCACTGCAGGTCAAATGTGGACATTTCATCCACAGCACCATGCAGGTAGATATGCTTTATATTGAGGGTTTAGAGCTGCAGTCCACCTGACACACAGGCCTATCCTGCAGGTGATGGAGAAGGAGGCGTCTTTGTGTATTTATTATTTATTTTAACTCATGCACCAAAGTTACCCAGGCCTCTGTATGAGGGCTCTCCTTCTCCTTGCAGAGTTAAGCTCTCGGAGGTTCGTTTTTCCCTCAAACGTCCGGGTGTTTTTCACCAGGAGGGTTAATATGAGAAAACAACAATTACGCTTAAATGAAACTGACTAGACTTTACGCACGTCTCCTTCAGATGTGTTGAGTATTATGTTTTTTCTTTTAAAGGGTGAGTATACGTTAAAAAAAAAAACGACCTTCCCTCCTCCCCTCCCCAGATTGTCCTCTCCTTAACGGGCCCAGATCAAAAGACCCACCGGCCCCGGCGGAGACCACTAAAAGACCCGGCCGCTTTGTCTGCGCGTTGGCAGGACTGAGGGACGGAAGGGTGTCGGTGGGGGGGAGGAGGAGGAGGGTGACATGGTAATGAGACTCTGCAACTTTTTTTAAAACTCCAAGTGTCCATCTGTCGTCAGACCTGGCACTTTTTCAACCTGACTGCAGATAAAGTTTTTTTTTTAATTTCTAACAGACTTAACTCTCGTGTTTTAGTTGCATTAGTGCGCAGAGTGTTTTTATTTTCTTTTTCCCATCTTCAAGTGTATCTGTCACATATTCATATAGGCTGGAGTCAGGTCTATGTGTTGTCCCTGAACGCACCAGACAGGACAGACCGGTGGGAAGTTTAAGTGACTGACACAGACAGTGTGAGGGCGGGGAGAGAAAAAGTAACAGCAGCTCATAAAACGAGCAGGTCAGCGGGCAAACAGGCGATGGATGAGACCATCACTCTCACCTGACAGTGACCGGGGAGGCGTCTTTCTCATGCAATGCACTCTGTAGCAAATACATGTGCTTCTGAGTATTTGCGTGTCCGTGTCACTGTAATCCTGCTCTTCTCTGAGTCTTTTTCTTTTGCACGTTTACCTCAAACAAATCACTGTGCTCGCGTCCTCCAAAGACGCATCCACAGTGGCACCTTTAAGTTTTATGTGTGTATTTATCCACGATCTTCTTGAGCAAACGTATCAAACTTAATTGGGGCGTTCATATTTTTTTTGCTGCAGCTCTTTACTAGTGAAAAACAACTTCATGTTGTCAGCTTCAGTTCAAAGTTCAAATATTCCCAAACCGTAAATATAACTGCAGCTGCTCTCAGAGTTTTAACTTCCAACGTGTAATTTGTTCCGGTCTTAAAATGCCTTGTCTTCCTATGCGCATTGGTTAAAAACTGAGCGACACACACCGACGCGAGTTCGCTGATAATTTCCTTTTTCACTGCACAATCGAAAGCTGCAGCTTTTGATCTGCGCCAGCCTCCCTCCCTCCATTCCTCTCTTTCCTCCCCCCTCTCCCCCTCTCAGTGCCGTCGAGCAGGTGGAGGCCGCGCACCTGCACACACAGCTGCGCGCACCTTGTTATTGCTGCCGCTGCGTGACGCACAGATGAGCGCAGCACACAGCCAACAACACAATCCCGACAATACAAACCTCTGAAGTACCACAGCTCTCAGACTTACACTTCATTTTTATGAAGGGACAACAAGACAAACTATTCCTGATCACAATTATACTCACACGTGTATCTTAAATCTAAATTAAAAACGAAATGTAACAGTTGTTAATAATTGCGTTTCGTTGATGAGGTGTTTGGTTTGGATCAGGGTGTGTAGCCTATTTATCCTCCGTCGTCTCGCCGTCTCTATCTCTTGTTTGTCATGCTCTGGACTTCAACACGACACCATCTAATCCAATTAAACACGATAACCCTGGACTCACGTATTATTCTCTTCCTTTTCTCCTTCGAGTTGCTGACAAGCACTCTTGGTTCTGTGTGAAAGAGAGAGTCAAGAGCCCTCTCTTAATCCCGGGCACGACTAAAAGTGATTGAAAAGTGAAAGAAACCCCCTCATTGGTCCTCGAGCTATAGTGTTTTTTTCTTTGTCTGGTGCTTTTTTTTTTTTTGCACCCATCGTGCGTAAA